AAAGACTGTACTAACCATCCCTGCCATCTAGTGGTGAAAAGAGAGCCTAACAGAATACTAGCTAATCAAACACTACATACCGGCCAATCATTTAAAAAAATCTTATTGACATGTAATGTACAGAATAAATACTACTTAAGATCCTCCTCCATGGAGCTGCTGTATTGTACAGAAGTCTTATGTAAGGGGTGCATAACTATTTAGTAACTACCAGGAGTTCTTGAAGCACTGACAGAGGCATCCTGTGTATTCCATTCTCTGAAATCCTCAACCATAAATGTACTCAAAGGAAAGCCAAGTCCTTGCAATAAAGATGGCTTTTTTAGATTATTTCCAAATAGTCAATTTTGTGATCCACTTTAGACCCTTCCCATAACTCTTGGTGGAAGTCCCTGAAGAAGTGGTGTTCTGCCTTGTCAGCCCTGGGCCAAAACGTCAGCATATGAAGGGGCCATAGTCATGAGGGGAGAGGCAGTTTTAAGCTGTCCTTCCCACCCTCCTCACTCTCCTAGGGTATGTCTACACTAACTCGTTAATTCGAGCTAGGTAGGCAAATCAGGGAACCGGAGTTGCAAATGAAGCCCGGGATTTAAATATCCTGGGCTTTATTTGCATGTTCCCGTCCGGCCGCCATTTTTAAATGCCCCTTGGTTCGAATGAACTGCCCGCGGCTACACACAGCAGTTTAAAGTTATTCCAAACTAAGTCCTCATTCCAAGAGGAGTAAAAGTTAATCTGAACTAAGGACTTAGTTCAGATTAACTTTAAACTGCCGCGTGTAGCAGGGGGATTTTAAACTAAGGGGGATTTTAAAATGGTGCCCGCCCAGGAACATGCAAATAAAGCCCAGGATATTTAAATCCCGGGCTTCATTTGCAACTCCGGTTACCTGATTTGCTTACCTAGTTCGAATTAATGAGCTAGTGTAGACATACCCGGAGAGTGGTGAAGCACTGCAATGGGTTACTTAGGGAGGTGGTGGAATCTCCATCCCTAGAGGTTTTTAAGTCTTGGCTTGATAAAGTCCTGGCTAGGTTGATTTAGTTGGGATTGGTCCTGCCTTGGGCAGGGGGCTGGACTTGATGACTTCTTGAGGTCTCTTCCAGCTCTATGATTCCATGATTGGACCCTGTTACCCCAAAAAAATTCCCACTGGAGACCACCCAGGGTTACGCTAGCATGGGTTTATTGTTTGAGGAATTAGCACTCCTCTGTATGCACTACAAACATAGAGCTGCCAGCGAGGATTTAAATTAAAGGGGGACCAGCAATCTCTCTCACACACACACAAACAAACAAGCACACTCCCCTCCATTCATTCACTCATTCACACACATTCATTCCTGCCCTCAGGCACTCACACACTTACATAGGCATATGGGTTTCATGAGGCATACTGGAGCGATCTACAAAAGCTTCCCTTGTCAACTGTGCCATGTCTAGATTGCTGCACTGTGCCAGATCAGTTGATCGTCGGCACAGAGCATCAGCCATTTTTATTTTAATGAAGCGGGGATTATTTAAATCCCCGCTTCTTTGACTATGCTGAGTAAACTACTTTACATGGCTCCGTTGACAGAGCCATGTAGTCTAGACATACCCTCAGGGTAGAATGCAGTTTAGAGCAAGTTACAAGCAAGGTGGCTGAGAGTTACAAAGGTTACAAAGTTGCAGTTTACAGTACGTTTCTGAGAGTTACAAAGATTACAAAGTTTTATAAAGATTAATGCAGGTTACAAGGTTTGACAAATATTACAATGAGTTGCAATTTAAATCCTTAGACCTTACAGTTAGTGTACTTTCAGAAAATGCATGAGTAAAATCAAGTAAGCTCAGGCGAAAGCTTTTTTACGCAACAGACCCCATTGCTATATCTCACTTAATCCCAAGACAACTGGGTCAGAGTAGAGTCTAGGCTCTTTTTTGTCTCTGGAGCTCTACAGTCCCAGGCTCAGACTGCTGCTCCGAGATACTTTTCTGGGGTGTGTGGCACCACTCAACCAATCTAGATCCTGAACTCACTGCCTGTGACTTTCCAAACACCACCTATTGTTTATATACACTTGTCAGAACTCCACCTGGGGCTGTGGGCACTCTGAGGGCATGTCTACACTACAGAGTTTTGTTGGAAAAACTTGAGGAACGTCCACACTGCAATTGCATTCTTCCGAAAGAAAACTGAAAAAACAGAGGGGTTTTTGTGATGAGAAAGAAGCCTTTTTCCAAAAGAGCTCTTTTGGGAAAAGGTGTGTGTGGACGGGGAGGAGGGGCTTTTTTTTTTTTTTTTTTGAAAGAAGAGGCCTCCAGGGAATAGCACAGGTGCCCTGGTGGCTACTCCATACAAAGTAATCACAACTCTATAGTTCCTGTCTCCTGGCCCCTCTTAAAGCTGCAGGCACCCTGGACAAGCCTTGTGGCAGAAAGCCAGCCTGGAAGCAGCACCCTGACTGCGCGGCTCTCCCTTCCACAAGCCTGCATAACAATGGCACAGCTTAAGCCCTCCTGCAACCGCTCTAGCTCTCGCAGGAAGCAGCCCCAGGGGGTCCCAGGACACACACAGGGGGACCAAGAGGCGCTCCCTGTCCTGGTGTGGCCTGGAGAGCCTGTCCCTCCTCGAACTGTGAGGTGAAATGGAGACCTTACAGGATCCCTGGGCCAAGAGCTGCAATGCGGACATTTATGGCTGGATGGGCGAGTCCCTGGCGGAGCGTGGAGTGCAGACACCCACCCCGGACCTTGGAACAGGATCAGAGTAAAGTGGAGGATCTCCGGCAGGGATACGTCCGGGACACAGAGCACAGCTCATGTTCAAGGGCAGGACCCCACTCTGGCCCCTATTACAAGGAGCTCCACCAAAACTGGGGGGTGGGGAAACGTCTTCCCCACTCATCCTCATTGACTCTGGACTTGAGACCCCCGTGATCACCCAGCCAGAGGTCTCTGCAGAGGAGGAGAAGAAGGGCCAGGGCCAGCTGGCAGAAGAGGAGAAGGAGGAGTAGATGGGCACTGTGACCCTCTCCCTGGAGCCGGTGCCTGTGAGCCAAGACATCTCCCAGACCTTCTCGGATGCCTGGCAGGGATCTTTAGGTGAGAGGTCTCACGTTGTCACACACACAGGGCGTGGGATGTGGGTGCACAACGTGGGGGGGCAAGTGTTGCTCAGGCTGCTCAGGCTGGACATCATGCTGTGGTCCCTGCACATGCAACCACGTGCAATGTTACCGTGCAGCATGTGGACACAGCAGGCAGCCCCTGAGCATGCCTGGGATCCTGCTGCCAGGTTGAAGGGAGACCACACACATCCTGCCCCCGGGGGGCCACCACGGCTGGAAGCAGGCTAGCCACAAGGGCTCAGGCATGACCCCACACAGACTGAGGAGTGCTGCCCCCACCACACTGGCATGCCTGCACGTGCGAGACAGCAGCTGCTTCCGTAGACAGCTCTGAGAGCTCCACCTGTGTATGCAGACACCGGGGAAGCCCGGGCTGGTCCTGGCTCCTCTGCCAACCACGAGGGGATCCAACTGTGGCCGGAAACTTCCCTTGGCTGCTTGTCCATGGGCTGGAGGGGTGGGGGCTGGGGAAAAGCAGGCAGCATGCTCCTCTGGGCACTCTGAGGAATGGCCTGTGAGGAATGGCCCACTGTGCAGTCCACACATGATCTTGTTCCTGGGACATCCCCCATCTCTGGGCCATGGACTGTTGGTCACTGCTCACAGAGGAGAGCATGGCCTCAGGGGCAGTGTCTGCAGGGATGACTGACCACTTCTCCCTCTGTGTGTTCTCCACAGCTGGACCAGCCAGGACAGAGGGCAGAGCCACACCACCACAACCACCCGCCAGAGCCTGGGGGACCTGAAGGTGCACCAGGGTGGAAGGAAAACTTATGCAGCAGCACAGTGGTATCCTGTGCAACATCCACCAAAACCTGGCACACAAGGTCCGCGCAGACATGGAGTGGTGGGACAGCACATGGAACCAATTGATGCAGTGGTGTGACACCATGTGTGCCGTCATGTCCCACACCCACCTGATGCTGCTGCTCCTGGCTTCCACCCTCCCACCCTCCATGCTATGCCCATTCCCCATCTTCCTGCCCCCCCGATATGCCTCTGCTCCCTCCCCAGGTGATGTCCATGCCCCCTCCCCAAGTGATGCCTATGGCCCTTCCCACTGTCTCCCTGCTAACCCTGAGCTTGCTCCAGCCCCTGCTCCTATCCACCCTTCTGTGCTCTCAGTACCCGCCTGACTGCAACTCCGACGAGGTCCCCGCACCTGAGGTGACACATCGAGCTGCTCATCCCCCTCCCCATTATGAACCCCCCTCTCCCTCCCAGTTATGACCTTCCCTCCCTCTGCTCACCTTTTCAGAATGTTTCATTAATACAGACTGCATTTTTTTGAAAATTTAAAAGGTGTGTTTATTGAAAGGTCAGGGAAAGGGCGAAGAGAGGGGTTGTGGTGGGGAAGGGATTGGGCCACAAGCCAAAGGTCCGTAGGGAGGAGGCACTGGAGAGAGTTACTGGGGTCCTTGAGAGAATCTTTCCCTCAGAGCCTTCCAGATGTGCACCTTGGACTGATGGGCCTTGTGGATGGCAGCTGTCCATGGCTGCAGGAAGGCTCGCCCCTTGTGGCCAGTGTCTGCCCCCCATCCCAGGAGGAACATGTGTGGACTGCACAGAGGAGCATGCTGCCTCCCCCTCCCTCGCCACAATGTTGTGGAGGACACAACATGCCATGACCACCTCGGGGATGTTGTGCTCCCCCACATCCACGTGGGTCAGCAGGCATCGGAAATGTGCCTTGAGGCAGCTGAAGGCGCACTCCACCTGGATCCGGGCCCAGTTCAAGTGGGCATTGAATTGGTTCCTGCTGGGATCCAGGTAGCTAGTGCACAGCTTCATAAGCCATGGCATCAGGGGTAAGCTGCACCCCTGGCGATGCACAGTGGCATCTGCACATCCTCAATGAGCTAGTGCACAGCTTCATAAGCCATGGCATCAGGGGTAAGCTGCACCCCTGGCGATGCACAGTGGCATCTGCACATCCTCAATGCCAAGTTCACGATGGAAGAAAAATGTGCCCACCTCCAGCTTGAGGTACAGGCTAGAGTTTCTGAACACTCAGGTATTGTGTGCCCTGCCCGACCACCCAGCAAAAATTTCTTTAAATTGTCCCTGGTGGTTGACCAGGGTCTGCAGCACCATAGAAAAATAGCCCTTTTGATTAATGTACTGGGCTGCTCAGTGTTCTGGTGCTTGGATCGAGGTGTGGGTCCCATCAATGGCTCTCCTGCAGTTTGGAAACCCCAGAGCAGCAAATCCGGCCACAGTCATGGATGACCCTTCACAGCAAGATGGAGTTGACGGCCCTCACAACCTACAGAAGGAGACAAAGAAACATACAAAAGAGAGAATGAGAGAGGGGGGTACCTGAGCCTTTGGGAGATGCCCACCCAGCTCCCCTTCCCTGCCCCCCAACACCCCAAGAGCCACCTCCTATGAGGCTGCCCACCCAGAAGCAGAGCTGTGTGAAGGTAGGACATCACAAGCCCCTGGGGATGGGGCTTCCCTCCCCACCTCCACTTCATCCC